ATTAAGAATTGAACTCTATACAATGTTTTAGATTTTGATTGAACTCAATAGATTATTAGTTCGGATAATCAGATATTTTTAATTATGTTCTATCGTAATACATGTTCGGTCGGGATATCGGATATTGAAATCTCACATATATTAGAATTCAAACTAAAAATTATATATTCATATACATGTCATTCAAATGAATATATCCAAAAAATATATATATATTTTTAAATATTAGCTCAAAAAATATTAATATTATCTAAACTAAATTTGATGTGAACTTAGTATGTTATTGGTTCGGATATATTTTTTTAGTTTTTATGTAAAAATCTTACATATATTAGACTTAAAAGTTTAAAAAAAAATTAAATTTATTCCATTTAAACCAAACATATGTAAAAATATATTAAATATCAGATCTAAAAATCACTCAAAATTAAACTTGTGTTACTTTTATAACGTTAATCTAAAAAAATAAATTTGAAAAAATAAGTGTTAGTAAACAAGTTTTCAAAACATAAAACAGAAAATGAAAACTAAAAAATTAGAAAATAGAAAACAGAGAACAGTTTTCTGTTAGTAACGGGCCCTAATGTTTTTCAATTCTAACGTAATGTTGGTGATGTTAGTTGTAGGATTTGCGTGCACTACTCATTAACTTGTGTTTCTACTATTGTCACTAGTACACAAATATCAAAAAATTCTAAGAATTTGCGTCCAAAGTTTAAACATGAGACGCATAAAGTGGTGGCATTTTTTAATTAAAGTGTCACTATATATATTTTTGAGTAAATACCCAAAATGGTCCTTCGACTATAGCTAAATTCACAAATTGGTCCTCGGCTTTCAATTTCAACAAATTAAGTCCTTAATTTTGCAATTTTGACACGATTTGGTCCTTTATCTATTTAACTGTTTGTTGACCGTGATCGACAATCTCCAGAAGAACCTTCAGCTCTCGTCAGAGCACGTGGAGGCCTCCAGGATGACGTTGCACCGGTTCAGAAACACGTCGTCTTCTTCGCTCTGGTACGAACACAACTACATTGAATCCAAAGGAAGGATGAAGAAAGGCGACCGGATTTGGTAGATCGCTTTCAGCAGTGGATTCGAATGTAATAGTGCGGTCTGGAAATGCAACCGGAACCTTAAAAAACCGACGATGGACCATGAAATTACATATATATCTTCAAAAATCACAGTCAACAAATGGTCAAATAGACAGAAGACCAAATTGTGTTAAAATTACAAAGTTAAGGACTTAATTGGTTGAAATTGAAAGTCGATGACCAAATTGTGAATTTAGCTATAGTCGAGGGACCATTTTGGGTATTTACTTTATATTTTTTTATGAAATTAAAAACAATATGCGTCCAAAGTTTGAAAACTTTGGACGCATATTGTGGGGCGGCTAATTTGAATGGACTATATGCGTCCAAAGCTCTCGAACTTCGAATGCATATAGTTAACTAAGTTATAATCATATGCGTCCAAAGATCACAACTTTGGACGCATATTGTGAGGCTTTTGAAAATTAAAAAATCCTCCCGTACGCGTCTTCTTTCCCACAGCCGCCAAACACACTCCAGCGTCTTCTCCTTGCCGCTGTCGGTCCAAACCTCTCAATCCTTGCCGTCGTCGGTCTTCCCCACAGCATCGCCGTCGTTTCCCCACACTCAGCCCCCACAGCCTCGTCGTCGTCTTCCCCACACCCCCACAGCCTTGTCGTCCTTCCCCACATCTTCTTCCTCCATTGCCTCCAGCCCCGTCGCAGCCGCCACTGATCTGCAGTCCTCGCCGCCGCTGCCGCCACCGGTCTCCAACTCTCCAAGCTCGCCGCCGGTCAGTCGTCCCCCGATCCGAAGGTATATATATATATATATATATATATATATATATATATATATATATATATATATATATGTAGTATAAAAATGTAGTATAATACATTTTAGAAATTGTCTTGTTTATTTTAGTTTAGATTAGTTATGTATTATTGTATATGTATATAAAAAATGTGTATTCTGTATTATGTTTATAAAAATAAAAGTGAAAAATTATAAAAATAATATAATTATCAATAAACAAAAAATAATTTTATAAGTATCAAATTAATGTATATAAGTAAATAAAATAAAGTATATATCCAAATTTAACAAAATATTTAATACAAAAATTAATTATCAAATAATGTACATTCAGTACACAAATAATGTACTTTTAGTATATTTAATTTAAAAATGTACTTTTCATTTATGGTCCACACAATTGTGTAGACCATGGTCCATGTAATAATGATTGAGTGGCAAATTATTGTGTGAACCATGGTTCACACAGTGCTGTGTGGACCATAACAAAAATTACATTTTTAATATACTAAATGTACTTTATTTGTGTACTGAATGTACATTATAAAATATAATATATACTTAGTATACAAATAATGTACATCTCCTGAATACAATGTACATTTTTAATATATTAAAAGTACATTGTTTTTGTGTTGAATATACATTATTTTACAGTATACAAAATATGGTCCACACAATAATGATACGATGAGAATAAATTTAGAATTAGTTTAACAATTACAGGATCATATTTATAAAAACTAAAACACAAGAATTATTGTTTTCAAAAAAAAAAAAAAGAAGACAATAATTAAATTTATAACTGAAAATAATTTAGAGATTATGTGTGATATTTTCCTATTTTAAATACTAAAAAATAAATTCTTGTGTTAAACACCGGATAAATAAATTAAAATGGTCATCACCAAGGAGCTGAGCTTAGTACAATAGTTTAAGGGTCGTCATAAAAGTCTTATCACAACAGTAGGGATAAGGTTTGATTTCCATTGAAAAAATGAGGTCATTGGAAGACCCAAAACCCAAAAGATAAATATTAGAGGTGAAAGGTAAAAATTAAGAACTGATTGAGTGATTCGCGATTTACCCGGCTCTCTCAGTGTATACCCACAACATTCACCCAAAAAAATAATAATTAAAAGGGTGAGAATAATTGTTATACGTTTGGATGTGGTAGATGGCAACACGTAGCAATTGAGATGACGAAAATGGTTGAGCAAGCGTATAACAACGTACACTATTGTCACTAGGAATTGTGCTACATGGCAACACGTACGGCACTTTTCATGGCCAAATTCTGCACCTAGACGTCTCTCTTCTCTTCTCCTCACTTCTCTTATCTTCTCTTCTCTAAGTCTCTTCTCTGCCTTTGCCCAATGCAATAATAAACTCAATGCACTCATACTAACGTAAATACGTAACACATACATCACACACTACTATTATTTTAATATACACATTAAATTCATGACACCCACTATTTTGGTTACGTTCGTTGTATATAGAATTTGAGTTACCAATTACTTACCAAATTTCAAATTCATCTATGAAACTTAAAACACTTACATAGCAATTAAGAATATTTTCAACTAGGGAGTGTCAAAGTGGATTTAAACTCGCAGGCCAGTCCCAAATCGCCCCACGATGAAACATATTAGGACATAAAATTTTTGGTCCGCGAAAGTGCGGGTCTCATGGACTTGAATCTCGTGAATTAACAGGATGTGAGGGTTAGCTCCTGCGGCCGCATGCCAACTATATATATAGATATATAGACAAGGGATCAGGTGTGATCCCAAGTGAAACATGTGGATTAATCATAGCTATTGATTTTGACAAAATTAACAGCTCAGAATGAATATAAATTAAAAAAAAAATACAGTGGCATTATGATAATTTTGTATATTATTGAAAGCATAAGGTGCATAATTATAAAGCTTAAGGTGTATATTTTCAAAGCTTAAGGTGCATCTATTTGATACTTAAGGTGCGTCAATTCTACACTTCAGGTGTGTATGTTTAAGGTGCGTCAGTTTAATTTGAACCTTAAGGTGCGTATGCTTAAAGCTTAAGGTGCGTGTGTTTAAAGCTTAAAATGTGTCAGTTTGAACCTTAAGGTGCTTCAATTCTACACTTAAGGTGTGTCTGTTTGATACTTAAGGTGCGTAAGTTCTACACTTAAGGTAGGTTATTTTTAACACTTAAGATGATCCAATTCAACACTTAAGTGCATATGTTTAAAGCTAAAAGTGCGTATGTTTAAAACTTAAGGTGCGTCAATTATACACTTAAAGTGCCTCCGTTTGGTACTTAAGGTGTGTCAATACGACACTTAACGTGTGTCAATTTGTAACTTAATGTGCATAGTTTTGAACCTTAAGATGCATTAGTTCAACAATGATGGGAAGAGAATACATCCCGTTCCCAAGAAGGTGTTATTTTAAAAGAAAAAAAAAAAAAGAAGAAATTCCTTGTTTCAATCCATGATTTATATTATATCAACGGTTCAAATCTCACCGGTTATATATTAAAATATTAGAATATAGAATATTATTATAATATGTAATAATTTTATTTTATTCTTGAAGTTAGCTCATCGGTTAGCCCAGATGAGATAGAGTTGAAGAATTTTAGCTAGCTAGTCTCACAAGCTGGCCCACAAAGGCTCGCAAAAGAAGATTACCTGTGGTACGCAAATTATGTTATGCATGGTCTATACGATTATAAAAATAACGTCGTTTTGCAACCGTGTGCACCATGCATGCGGTTGCACCACAGTTGCACAACATAACTATTGCCCGTGGTAAGGGTGGGCCAACCCTTATTGACACCCATATTCCTAGCACTTGCCAGTTGTAGCTACAACTCGGCTCTGACTAACAAAGTTGATTCTCCAAGTTGCTGCATTTTGAGAAAGTAAAATTATAAAACTGAATATTATTAGTAATAGTACGTATTTTATATTATCATTATATTTGCGTGATTGTTTCAAGTAGTATTGTAAAAATTCCTATATGAGGAGAGGGAGAGGTTAATGAAATAGTAAGTGGATTCCTATTCAATTTTCTATCTATAACAATACGCATCAAATAAAGTGTTTGTTCGTCTCTTCTTAGCCTTTTCTTTCTTAAATATAAAAAGAACCCCATATCTAAAAGTATAAAACCCAGGAACTGACATATATATCCAAAAGTTTTTGGCGGCAGAGGTGAGAGGGGAGAGGGCCCTCAGCTCCGTGGTCAGAAGATCAGAATTGAAGTGTTGATGGAGGGGGGCGGTTTACGTTTGTTGCTGGGGATGTTATTTGTGCAGGCTGTCGCCGCAGGTTTGCAGCTTCTGTCTAAGGTTATTCTGGGACAGGGAACCTTCGTCTATGCTCTAATGACTTATCGTCACATCGTTGCCACTTTCTGTGTCGCCCCCTTTGCTTTTACCTGGGAAAGGTGACAGAGATTTTGGGTTTTTTTTTTTTTTTTTTTGAATGAGGAAAAAAACACAAATGCAGTGAGTTGTTATTAGATAATTTTAGTATTTCATTCGTAACCTGCACTTTCTGTTTTCCTTTTTTCCTTTCTTTAATGTAATGTTCATCAATGTTTGTTTGTTTGTTTGTTTGTGTGTGTGTGTATGAGAGTGCAGGGAGAGCCTGAAGAAATTGAACTTGTCTGTTGTGATGTGGCTCTTCTTGGTTTCATTGTCTGGGTACGTAACCAACTCTACTCATGAAAGTTCATGCTCACCTTTTCCTTTCTTTGCTCGTACAAATAATGCCCGCATGTGGATCTTCAATTCAGCTCAACAAATCTTTAACTTCAATTCAATTACTTATAATTTGACTAGTTCAAGTTTTTTTCTTTTAAAATAGAGGTAATACCCAAAATAGTCCATCGACTATGTCGTAATTACCAATTTGGTCCTCGACTATCATTCTTACCCAATTAAGTCCTCAATTATACAATTTTTATTCAATTTAGTCCTTTGTCAATTTGACTGTTTGTTGACTGTCAAAAGTGGAAATAAAGTTGTAATTTTACAAGTTTTCTCCTTCCTCCTCATTTAGCAGCGCCAAACCATGTAGCAATAAGCTCCGGTTGGGTTCTAAACCTGTCAGTATCGAAGTAGTGGTTATGCATCGGATAGTCCATGAATTTGATTTTCAACGATTTTTTGACGATCGAAATCTGATCGGAGTGTATTGCTGCATGGTTTGGTGCTGCTAAATGGAGAGGAAGGAGAAATCTTGTAAAATTATAATTTTATCCCGACTTTTGACAGTCAACAAACAGTCAAATTAATACAGAGGACTAAATTGGGTAAGAATTGTATAGTTGAGGACTTAATTGAGTACAAGTTACATAGTTGGGGACTTAATTGGGTAAGAATGGTAGTTGATGACCAAATTGGTAATTATGGCATAGTCGAGGGACCATTTTGGGTATTAACTCTTTAAAATATTATGTCTTGACATGAAACTTCTTATATGATGATTTAGCCCGTGTTTGGTAAATATCTGTTAGCTGATAGCGGTTAGTTGATTGAGTTAGTGGGTTTGACTAGTTGATAGTTAGAAAGAATTAGTTATTAGCTGATAGCTGATTAGATGTAAAATGACTTTTTCAAAAAATTGATTGAAAAAAGTTGTTTTGAATAGTTTTTTGAATTTTAGTGTTTTGGAGTAATAAGCTGTTACAAAAAGCTAATTAGTGAAACACTTATATTAGTTGTTTAACCAAGTTCAATAATCAATATTAGTCAAATAAGTTAAAATTAACTAATAGGCTAATTATTTTACCAAACAGGATATTAGTGTTTAATAACAAGTTAGTGAGGTCAACCAATTTATAGAATTCAACGTTTATAAGTCATGTCAGAAATGATTTTAAATATAGAAAGTTTTGGATAGGAAAAACATTTTCCTATATATAATCTAAACATAAATATAATATTACGAATAATTTAGTTAATATAATTATATATTATAAGATAGTTATAATTACGATGTGATATTGAATTTTAATTTTCAAACTTAAGTCGAATTTTGAATTTTGAATATTTGAATCGAATTTGGCTCAACTATACCCTAGCACTGAATTTGGACACCATTTTCATTTTTCAGCCAGAGGAAATTTCAATTTTAGTCATATTACTATAGATGTCTTATTAATTTCAGTCCCTGACTTTTAAAAGTGTCAATTTAGTACCTTAACTATGCAATTTTTGTCAATTTTAGTCACTCAGGCCAAATTGCCGCCAAATTTCGCCGAAAAAATTTTAATAGTTAAAATAATGAGGGTATTTTGGTCATTTCACGTCTCTTTTCTTCTTCCCCGGCGAGTCCATCTCTTTCTCTCCCATTTCCGACGTTCTTTATCCCTCTAAACCCTATCTTTAATATCATCAAGCCTCCTTTCCCCATCATCTTAGTTCATTACATCCACCGGAAACGGGAGAGGAAGTGATGGACTTGCGTGGGAAGAAAAAAAGAGACGTGAAATAATCAAAATACCCTCATTATTTTAACAATTAAGATTTTCCGGCGAAATTTGGCCGGCAATTTGGCCGGAGTGATCAAAATTGACAAAAATTACATAGTTAATGTACTAAATTGACACTTTTAAAAGTTAAGGACTGAAATTAACAAGACCCCTATAGTCATATGATCAAAAATTGAAATTTTCTCTTTCAGCCACATAAAAGCTGTCACCACTTTTGTTTTTTTGTCCTACATCATTTGTTGCTCCAAGTTATTAGAAAAATGGTTTAAGGAGGTTTAATTGGGATAATTCTTTTATTTTGGATAGGTTTTAATTTGATTAGGCCATAATTTTCTATTTCTCGGTATTTTTGGATATTTTTCTTGGTTGGTAGGCAATATAATAATTGGTCATTTAATTAATTAGTAGGTATGCCAAGACCTTATGGTCTAATGACACCAAGATTGCACGCCCATATGAGAGGTTGTGCATTCGACTCTCAGTGGAGGTAAGACAATCCACAACCTGGGTTCGACTTCGTCACAAGTGACGATTTCCTTTGGGCTAGTTTTCGTGCCTCCCAGAGCGAACGTGAATTAGACGGACAGAGAAAGACAAAAAAAAAAAAAATTGAATTTATTGCCTTTTCAATTGAATTCTTGCAAAGAGCAAAACTTATTAACTTATTTTAAATTGGTTGACTCATGTTGAATAGTGTCCGAAACATTGAATGTTTTTTATTTTGTCATTATAAAATGGAGTCCAGTAATTCAATTTTGAATTACTTCTGAGTTAACAAATGCACAATTGTCTATATTTTAAATAGACCAAAATACATCAAACGACAATAATAATCGATTGAAATTTTAAGAAATGAATTAGTCATATAATTTTCATGTTTGGTAAAATGCAACTTTAGTAATAGTTAGAATTACTGTTGAAAGTTGAAACAAAGTTAAAGTTGCCAACCCTAAGCTAATAGCATCCACGTGATGTTTAGGTATACGTACGTATGTGACAACAATCTAATATTCCACAAGCATCGCATCGGTCATTTGTTTGACGCTTGTTAAGCGATTAAGGATTCTTTGCCACCGGTTAATTCTTCACTAAATTTGTTAACGTTGGCTAGCTTTTAGTGATGATGATATGGATGATTCTTGTCTGCAATTTATTATTTAAGAATTAAATAAATTGTCTGTGTAACTTGATATTGATAATATTTTAATTAATGTGAAGCTTACAATAATGAATTGGCTCCACTTGACAGAATATGTATGGCTATGGGATTCTTTTACTTGGGTCTTCGAGACACAACAGCAACGTATGCTTCGAACTTCCTCAACCTAATCCCAATTTTTACCTTTGCCATCTCAATAATTTTTCGGTATGATTTTTATTCTTTATTTAACATTATATAAAGTTCTGGGCTAATATATTGCTGTTATACTTTTGATCGTTCGATTATAAAAATAATGTTTTTACTCTTGACATGGTCATCAATTTTTATTTGAATTTAATTATAATTTTTGACTATATAAAAATATTTCAACTAATTTAGTTGAAAGTACATAAAATGTCACCAGGTTTGTAAAAGAGGTTTTGTCACTTTTTGGTGGCATTCTCACTATTGGTAAAAAAACTATGAAATTTGTTATTGTGCACGACTTTTGCTTATTATTCAATTTCGATTTTGTAGGTGAGAAATTCAAATGAGATATGATCCCACCAAATTTTGTTACATGCAATATGTTTAGCTTCCAAAAGATCAATTTAAAATAAATAAATAAATAAAAATCACACATTCTGTGAAAGCATGTCATATGATTAGAAAGTTTTGTCCTTAAACTTTGATCATTCACAAATCATGTGACAAAATTCAATAAAATTTACAAGTAGAATCAAAAGTGAGATAGAGCAAAGTGTGGGAATTGAAAGTTAAACTCATATTAGACTTATTAATGACATGATTTGTGTTGGATGTTAAAGTGTAGAAAAGTTGAGGTTGAATACTAAGGGTGGGAAAGTCAAACTCATGGGTGCAATGATTTGTCTTGCTGGAGCGTTGACCATTGCATTGTACAAAGGCAAAACCTTCCATTTCTCCCATACTAAAGCAGTTGCTGCAGCCACTCATCAAGTGATGAAACCAAACTGGAAACGTGGCACTATATTTTTGGTGTGTAGTTGCCTGAGTTATGGTTTCTGGTTCATCACACAGGTATTAAATCTGAAAACGGTCTCATATTACTTTGTGAAATTAAAAGTGTAAAAAAACTGCATTTAACTTTATAAACCAAAGTACATAATCTTATAATCTAAAATGTTTTGGTCATGAAGGCCAAGTTGTTCAAGAAGTTTCCGTACATGTACTCTGCAACCACGGTTATAAGCATGATTGCAACGTTTCAAAGCATGGTAATAGGTCTATGCATTGACAGAAACAAGGAGTCATGGAAACTGGGATGGAACTTGCAACTAATAACTATACTTTATTCGGTATGTAAGTATACATTGTTTTTATCTGTACGTATATATTTTGCTTTAATTAGTTCGAGGTTGTACGAGGAAAAATAATGAAAATGTTTGTGACAGGGTACATTGGCGACAGCTGCAACGTTTTGCTTAATGTCTTGGGCGATTTCTAAAACGGGACCAACTTATCCTTCCATGTTCAACCCACTGTCCCTGATTTTGGTCGCCATCACGGAAGTCATTTTTCTAGGTGCATCTATCTCAATTGGAAGGTCGAGTGTCGTCATTCCTGTTACGTTTTTATTTCTCGCAATTCGAATTTTTAGTTGAGACAGAATGAACATAGCGGGATTAAATGTGTGTAATTGCATGCAGTTTGATTGGAATGGCTTTTATCATAGCGGGATTATATCTCTTCCTATGGGGGAAGAACATGGAAATGAAAAACTCGATTAAATCAAATACGACGAAAAGTTTAGGTCAACTAATAGCGGGAGAAGGTGGTGGGTTGCAAGCAACGGCGGCGGGGGCTGTGGTGCCATCATCATTAACTTATTCTTCTAATGAGCATTGCAGTGCTGTAGTGGTGCCAGCTTCTTCTCCTAGCTATGACGATTGCATTGAGATTGAAACTGGCAATAATAATGAACAAGTGAATTAATGTGGTAAAGTCTTAGGTAGAGAAGAAATTAATGTTTTTCTAATGTAATGTTGTGATGTTAGTTGTAGCATTTGCGTGCACTGCTCATTAACTTGTGCTTCTACTATTGTACTACATATATATATGTAGTATTTTGTAACAACTCCTTATATCCCAAAGATTAACCTAATTGAGCAACTTCTTGCTAACACATTTTATCCTCTAATCTTAGTCGAATTTGTCACATGAAATTTTTTTAGTGCGGTTTATCTCTTTTGTGTGTGTTTTGTAGGTTACTACACGGGAATGAAGTTTACCCATCATACATTGCACATCCTCGAGTAAGTTTGTGGATTACCCTCGTCAAAAAAAAAAAAAAAAAAAAACAAAGAATTAACCTAAAGAAGATTCCTAACTATTTGAAAAAGTTGAATTATATACTACACCTTCAAATTAAATTAAACGGCTATGACTATTTAAGTCTAGACTTTTTGTGGTTATCGGTGTTATGAGATTTTTCAAGTGGAAACAATGTTAGTAATAACTTGTTATAAAAGAAAGGCAATCTTAACATAAATGGGTCCAATTTCTTCTTTTTTTTTTTTTTTTTTTTTTTTGAAGCAAACAAACAAACTGCATTAATAACTTAACAAACCAGAGATACAAGCCGGTGGGATAAATTCCCACATACCAGAGACAGACGAGGAATCGGTTGCCCGTGCTAGTTCATGAGCCACACGATTCGCTGTTCTCCTGACATGGCAAACACTAACGTTTCCAATGTCATTAGCAATAGACACACATTGCTTAACAATTACATCCAAATAAGAAAAATCACGACTGCAGTTTGAGGGTTTAGATGAAGTTTTAAAAAAATAGAGGAAAAATGGTTAAATAGACCCTTCAACTTTACTCAAAAGTGCAATTAGGCCCTTAAACTTTAAAAAAGTGCAATTAAACACCCGAACTTGTTATTTTGGGGCATCTAAACCCAATAGTCGATTATTTACCTGGAATAACCGATCATTTAAGATTCTAGCGACATTCTGGTGAATAAAAATTCCGACGAACAAACAAATTTTTTTAAAAAAATTCCGGTGGTCGGAGAATGAAAAATAGATTGTGCAATTGAATAGAGACATGCACTACTGCATAATTAACCACTAACATTATTTGTTGTAAATAACAATATGTGTCTTCTAATTCTCTCGCCAGACTTTATTTATGTTCTTTTGCAGTAATCTACAATCGTTATTTTGGTTATATAGTCAATATTTTGTAGGAAAGATATTCTTGGACTAACATTTTTTTTTAATTGCGTGTTAATTTGATGTTTATTCGTGTTTAATAACGTACGTGGCTTTTGTGATCTTGATTGCATATGCACTATTCTCCAACTACAACCTAGTACCTAACCTAGCTACTATATTGTGAAATCTCATGCTTACACTTTATTTCTTTTCCTTCAACTCCATCTTTAAGGTGTTGTACGTTTTATATATAGATAGATTTTTATGGTAGTATTCAAAATATAGAGTATTTTAAATGAAGAAATATTCTTTTCTTTTTCTTTACTCATTTGATCGTGTTATACGGAGTAGTAAACTTGCCAACCCTAGTGCATGAAAGCTAGCTATCATCATCCACATGATGTTTAGGTATACGTCAACTTATCTCCCATACTCTCAAGTATTCCTAAAGCATCTATAAATTATTTGATTCTAGTAAAGCGTTTAAGATTGATTCTAATTTTTTTTTTTTTTTTAAATGACTAGTGCTCATTAACGTAACATACAAAATTTTCATTAAAATTGCTAATATGGGTTTTTGTTATTATTGTCTTGAGAAATTGTAAAAAAGAAGAGGAATGATTTATGCTTCCGTGTTCAATCTATATATTGTCCTAAACTTTGGTGGCCACCATTGAAGTCATTTTGCTTGGTTAATTGTGTAAATGCAAAAAAACTTGAATTGTATATATATTCAAAGTGTACATACCAGTGAAGTATGTATCAAACGAGAAGGGGTACCTATCTAAATATGAGAAATCATCTACTTTTTTACTAAAAGTATGCTGAATTCGGAGTATTTCAAACTGAAAGTATGCCGAGTTCGGAATATGTCGAATTGTCCCTGCTGAAGGGTCTCCGGAGTTAAGTAGTTTGTTCTTTAAAGTCGAGTGAAATTTCGGCAGAGTTTTGGTATACAGATCTTCAAAGCTCACTTTCTTTGAAAATGAAACCAAAAATAGTGGTGAGTATGTACGAAAAATCTAACAAACTTGATCTTTTTGGATAATTCACAATTTAATTTAAATATTTGAATTAAATATGAAAAATGTATTGGGACGCCATCACATTTAAGTTCATGATTTCATCCAATTTCAAATAATATTCAATAAATCCAAACCAAGTCAAGCCCCGTCAATTAAGAAGCCCAATTAATCCAAATAGTTTGGTCCAATTCCATTAAAAATTTCATCAACTTGGACCAAGCACTCCAACATCCAATTACTCTTATTAAGTAATTACACCAATGAAATATTGATTGGACCATTTAATTAACCCATAAATAAATATTGGTCCAATAACAAAATTAAAGCAATTAATTATCAACCAATGCCCAATAGCACACAAATCAGCCCATTTAAATTTTCAATGCTAACACAATACATCTAGGAAAGTTAAGTCTCATTCTCGATATGAAAATCTTTTTTTATAATTGTTTATACATGAGAAAGAATAGAATATAATTATATATGGAAAATGTTATTTTCCCCTCCTGTATTTTCTCTCCAAACATTTACTTTTTAATGTGACTTTTCATTAGGTGTATTGACCCCATCACTAATTAAAATTTAAATTTAGCTATCAATAACTCAATAAGATGATGTCACATCAAGAGGGAAAGTTATTAGGAAAAATACAGAAGGGTTTATAGCATTGTTCAATTGTTCAATATATATATAAGCCAAACATATCCTATAATACATCTGCATCTAGTAATTTAAACTCCTAATTAAGACCCTCTATGAAATTTGATATGCAATGCGAACTTTAATATAATGTTTATTGAAAAAGATATACTCATTTCTTGCTTGTTAACACATATATTATCTAGATTTTGATGTTATATGTAACCCTATGCATTTTGATTGGTATGACTAATATAGGTAGCATGACTCTCATATCAATTCAGTTACAAGTTCGATTTTTATCAATACTTTCTTAATCCAATATAATTCGTTGCATACATATTATCTTTCTAGTGTAGAATTTATCTCTCCTGAGTGGTTTTTAGACTATTAGTCTATTATGCAAGAGTAAAGTTTACCCAATACATACTCTCGAGTAGTGTCTGTGAGTTACCCTCATCACCTAAAAAATGAGATGGAAAAAACAAAATACAAAAAACACAATGAACATATACTATGCTGTAATAGAGTTAGTAGTACTCCAAAAAAAAAAAAAAAAAAAAATGAAAGCGTAACATTTTTGAAACATTTTATAGAATTTCTATTCTTTTTGGAAGAAAACATTTTTGAAATCTAAAAACATTATAGACTTGAATTATAGTGGGATTGCATGTCATATATATGCATGAGCCAATAAACCAATTGAAGTATTAAAAAAAAAAAAAAAAGTAATATAACCATAAAGTAAAATATGGATCTTATTAATTAATTACTTAATAGCTAGCATTATGAAGTGTGAAAGATCATATCAGAGATGAAATTACATCAATCAATATAATAATGCTACTAATGGTTGGTTATTACAGTACTATATATTATTAATTTATTATTATACAATAATATCTTTCAAGTGGTAGAAGTAGAGCATAGACTAAGAAAAGCCTGTTCAATGAAACCGTGAACCTCAAGCGAATTGAGAACAATGTAACAGTAAATGAGCTCCTCCATTTCACTCCAGTCTTGAACCCCAACATCATGGATCATTTCCAAGATCGAAGCTCGAATGTCGGACACCGGATCTGTCGAGTACATGACGGCGCAAATGCTGTCGGAGAACGCCTCGTGAGCGTCGTCTGGTAGACTGGCTGAGAAGCTTATGATTCTGTTCTTCTTCTTCTTCTTTACTTCTTGAACCTCCATTTCTTGGAGTTAAAGTGGAAGATCAGATGAGATGAGAGAAGGATAATGGGGATTTAATTGGTATTGTTGAATGGAATTGAAGGTGTCCAGGCTAGAGGTAAGGGGGGTTCATCTATATATAAATGTCTCCCTCATTCGCAGGCAACAATAACGCAGTGACAAGGGCACATGGGAGTTGGTATACTATAAAGGGGTTAGTTATTTCGGGTGTTGAATTCAATATACATTAATAGATCAGAAGATTATATTTTTTAATGTGGAAGCGCGCATAACAGGAAAAAATTGCACTTTTTTAAAAAATTTAAAATTTATTAGCTAGGTTAAGTCAAGTCAAAGGAATTTTATCATATTATTGGTTGGTGTATCAATGTACATAGTGGGCAAGCCAAAAATCTTGTGGTCGAGCAGTATAACTGTGACTCTTTTAAATGGGAGGTCACATGTTTGAACTCCAGGTGGGTAGTGACTCTTTGTGATGTATGAACATATACTACATATAATTGAAGACCCTTAACAAGGCAAATTTACATACACTTGTAGGTGAAAGTAAGTTCACTTGTAGGTGACAGTAGGACATGCGGCGCGCGCTGATTAATTGGTTCACATTTCGCAACTGGGCGGCCATTCGCACGAGATCGCGCCCTTATATATATAGGAAGGGGTATATTTATTGCGGGCATCAAAATGCAGTGTGACAATTGAGTCCTCACGTATTTTTGCCTTGTAAATTGTGGACTCCAATGTATTTGATATTTTAAATAAGACCTGTAAAGTGAAGAATAATTATTTAGAATTAGGTCGAATACCCTCATTCAATGAATATGAATGATATGATGGACACAATGTGACTACCTGATTCTTGTTAGTAAGACTCATCAACAAAGTTTGATATCAACTACTTTATTGTGATTGAATTTGGTAAGTATGTATGGTAGTAACATGGTGCATAATGGAGTGTCATGTTGTGGTGGACCATTGTGCAGGGGACAGGAGATGAGCAAACACATGAAACTGTAAGGATGAGAGGAGCCAAAAATATCCCCAAAGGCACCAAACTAAGGTGATAGAATTGAACAACATTATT